GAGCTTCCATCATCTGTCGCTTTTGACATGATAATAACACTACTAAGACACATCAATCGAGCTCCAATACCAATTGATTTTCTAACACTGTACAGACGCAAGCACTCATATAAACGCACATAAACTCATCTCTATAAACACACACGCACACCCTATCTCTATGAGCACCTCCGAGAGATTAAACCGCCATAACATCTTGAGATTTTACGAAGTCACCGTAGGCACCTCGTAGTCGACGGGGCGTCTCCTCCCACTGAAAGCGTATCGTCAAAAATCCTGAAATAAATTCATGATAAATGCGAGTATCAGGACTTGAATCCTAGTGTACTAAAGATACCACTATCCACCTAACCATCCAAACCACATGTTGGTTCACAAAATGATCCAATAGCAATTGATGGAATATATACCAATCTACTCGCCTCCACGACATACAGTAATGGGTTTAACTCTAGAACTTCACATAGTAGACCTCTTCCAATGCAAAGGTGCTTAGATGAGGTGCTAAGTGCATTAAATACCTTAGCAACTCAACACCCCAATGCATAGGTGCTTAGCTTGTTGTTGCTAAGCACACATTATTTAATGAGTTAGCACCTAAAGTCTTTCATGTATTGGTCAAATTGTTTCATTTAAGTGGTTTGCCTAGGTTTTTGCACTTAGCATTGGTTCTTTCTGGGGTCACCAACAGGGGCGGAGCCAGCGTGTAGCCGTTGGGTTCAGCTGAACCCAACGAGTTTTTCACATCACGTACATGTATAGATGCGATCGCTCGTATGAACCCAATACGAATGTACGGTTGAACCCATCGAAACTGGAACATGCGAACGAGAAGCCTTTTGGCCCATTAATGTTTTATATAACAGTAACCCAACCAGAAGCTCACACCTTGTTTTTCTTATATAGGACAAAAAACCTGTAAGTACAGCTAAAAAAAGCCCGTAAGTAAATGTGATACCATACCATCCACGAAGCAGGCTGGATGGGCTAACTATCAATTCCATGTCATCATGTACGCAACCCACGTTTGTCTCAAAAAAAAAATGTACGCAACCCACGACACGCGCCTCTCGTTTCCGCAGTACGTTTCCCCGATTTACATCGTCTCTTGGTCTCTCGTCTCTATGGGGCTGTTTGGATCACGCCCCAGTCCGCCCCGCCAATAGCGGGCTCGCCAAAAAATTGGCGAAGGAATCCGCCGCCGCGGTTCCGCCAACTCGCGGGCGCAAAAACTGAACGAAGCTGCCGAAATTTTGGCGTGGTCGCGAAACGTTGGTTCCAATCCAAACGGCTGCCGGGCGTGCTAGTCAACGCCGAAAAATTGGTAAGGCCCTCGTCGGCTGTATTCCAAACAGCCCCTATGTTCGCGCATGGCGGCGCCGGATCGCCGACGGCCAGCGGCAAGCCAACTAGCTGAGAACACCAGGTCAGCCGTCAGCAGCGACCGGCAATTGAAATCCAAACTGAAGGTAATGAGACCACATCGTCCTTCTTGTGCAGGTCTTATCCTAGCACGAAATTAACCTTTGCCCTAGTTTTCTAACTATATTTCATCTGAACTTTGATTGACCTAGGCTATGGTACGAATATTTATCAAATAGAAATTGATCATCATCGGATTCAGATAATGATGTATAAGGACTTCAAGCCTACCCACCAGATGTAGGTGTGTTAAATTCTGTTGATTAATCCCCCAAACCTTCTATTCTGAGGAATTAATTTATATGATCTCCCAAAGCCTTTTATGCATAGATAAACTATTTTTTTCAGATGATGAAAGATCCGAAGGGTGCACTCTGAAATGTGAGTAAATTTACATGCAGCTTTCACTTCATGGTAGTTTACTTGAAACTTGTCAAACTAATGTGTTTTTTTAATCTTTTCTGGAAGTTGAGAAGTTGGTCCTAAAGCTAGGGAGCTATATTCGTGACTCTATTTATAAAATTTAAACAAGTGACTTTATAATTTCATCAAACTGGTACGTCTTGCACTCTTCAATGAGTACTAAACCAGCGTCAATTAATATGGTTAGGTACTCTCAAAATTAATATGGCTCGGAGTGAGTAGCATATCTCTATTTGTTACAATGACTTTACCCAGTCCTCACAATGAGCTAACAAGTGAACCCATTGGCCAAATTTTCTGGCTCCGCCCCTGGTCACCAAAGTACTCTCTCCTCCTTAAATGTAGTGCCATGTCATTTTTTTGCTTATGTGGCATGCTTAGCATCTGTCCGCGGTGAAGCATTGGGAGGGGCCGTAGAAAAACATTTGGTGCCGCAATAATTGCAGCGTTTTCGAGCGTTTTCATTGCTTTATATACGTAGACACCAACACACACGTCATATGACCAAACCCAACACGACACCACCCAGAGCACAACTCGCTGGTTTAACTCGACTTCTATCTGGTAACAACTCACATAACTCGATGACTCGCCTTAAAGATCGACGATCCCCAAACACCGCAACAAAATTCACGCATTTATAAGTAACCTAACTTACTCTCTTGTATTCTCGCCATCCCTAATCATCCTTGCCAAATGAACAAACTCTAGCCTTCGCGTACACCTTCCCTGGTCGGCAGAAGTAGCCCTGCTCCGGCGCGCAGTACGAGTCCTCGGAGCAGACGCAGTTTCCTTCGATGGCACAATGCTCCTTCATGATATTGGGACTCTCATTGACGCCGAGCACCTGGTCGCTCCACTCGCTTGAGAAGAGTCCGTCAGGGTCGTACCTGTCCTTCACCATCAGGAACTCGTGGGCTTTTGGGTACTTTGAGATGGCACCGTCGAAAGCGATGTTGCGGTTTTTGCCCCAGTGCGGCAGGGCACCGTACTTGTGTAGTGCCATCTGCTCGATCTCGTCCACCACGTCGGCGTGCACGCGTGGCATCCCGTCGGCGTGGCTACGGTAGTAGATGATGTCGATGGCGATGGAGTCCTCGGCCTTGCCGAGGTAGGCGGAGGATGCCTTGATGTAGCGGAAGGCCACGCCTATCCTAGGGTCGACGCCAGCACAAAACACGGCAGGGTTGAGATCCCGGAGGCGCTGCATGTCGACGATGAACGCCGGCGCCTTGGAGAGGGCGACGCTAAAGCCGGAGTTGTCGTTGAAAGAACCTGGGATGCGCGGGTCCCAGCCGCAGGCGGAGCGGAGGCCGTCCTCCGGGCTGTCTGCGCATGTGCCGGACGCCTGGATGCGGTGCTGGTACCCCACCACCGGGTACCCCGTGAAGGAGACGCCGTCGTTGGTGAAGCCGTAGGCCAGCCTCTCCAGCGTGTCCGCCTGCAGCCGCGCCGCCGCGCACCGGGCGGTGTCGGTGCCGTTCTCCTGCAGCAGCTCCTCGGCGGCTCTTGCAGCGATGGTCGCCCGGGTGGGATTGGCGCGGAAAAGGAGCATGTCGTTGAGGCCGTCGCCCGGCGTGGAGACGTCGACGCGGTCGTCCTGGCGGTAGACGACCTTGCCCTGCTGCGGCAGCCATAGCATGTCGGCGAACTCGTGGAGGCGGCCCCACGTGGCCACCTGGTCCGCGAAGTCTGAGTCGTCCCGCTTCACGAACGTCACCGACCGCTTGAACAGCGGCTGCAAGGCCAGAGTTACCTGAGAGATGACGCCCAGGACGCCAATGGAGACCTTGGTGGCGTCCAGGTCCGGGTGATGGGCGCCAAGCTCCCTCACCACGGCGAACCCCCGGCCGGCCGGCGCCGGCGTCACGATCCTCAGCCCGACCACGTACTCGTGAACAGCGCCTCCCTTGCCCCACAGCGAGCTCCCGTGCGCGCCCGTCGCCAGGAGCCCGCCGATGGTCAGGCCGGACCAGTACGGTGAATGCGGCAACGACAGGCCCTCGGCGGCGGCGGCCTCGATGAGGTCCCGGAGTAGCATGCCGCTCTCCACCGTCATGAGCCGCTTCTCGGCATCGACGCGCACCGTCCGGTTCAGCCGCGCGGTGCTTATGATCGTGCCGTCGCGGCCGCCGGGGCACGCGAGCTTGGGGATGCTGTGCGAGTGCTTGGTGGCCACTTTCACCTTCCGTTTCGCGGACGCCACGGCCGCCACGGCCGCGACGAGCTCTTGCTCGGTCCGCGGGTAGGTGACGTTGGCCGCGGGGCAGAGGAAGAAGCCGTACGTGTTGGTGATGGTGCAGTTGGACGTGCCGTGCGTGCACACCACCGGGTCCGGCGGAGGGCTGCAGCCAGCGAGCTGGAGGAGGATCCCTAGCCCTAGGAGGGCGACCGGGAGCAAGCTTCCCATTCTTCTTGCTTGTCCTTGCGACATGGTTGGGCCGGCCGGGCACTGAATGAGTACCTCGATGTAGTACTTGTTTGTAGCCAGTAGAGAAGCTACTCCTTAAATAGGTCTAAGGTTTTTTTTTTTTGAAACCGTACACCCGCAGGCATACGTTACTTGTATTTATACGAGTCGGAAAACAGTACATACAACGTAGATACCAAACTTCCTGTAAATAGGTCTAAGGTTAAGGTCACATCATGGTGCATTCCTCATACTATTTTGTTTAGGGGCGCTTGGGCATGTAGTTGTTTAACTGAGTATCGCGTTCCACCGAGGACTGTTCTAAAACGAACACGTCCAACACCGTGTGAGTGCGTTCAACAAGTCACCGGGAAGATCGAGCTTGCATTTTTTTCTTTCTCACATTTGCGCGCTGGTGTTCAAGCAACTGCAATTTAATTTCGATTTGGTTGATTCCATGGCAGCAGCGACCAGTCAAGCCGGGACGACATGTTACGATGCATGCGTGGAGTTAGTTGAGCTAGTGGCGTGAGTTAGTGCATGGAGTCGTGCTGTTAGTGGCCTAGTGATATGGCCAGGTGTGTGTGCGCGCGCGCGCGCGCAGTGGCGAATCTACTGGGGGGCTTTAACAGGCTTAAACCCCCCCTCCAGCTTTGCAAAATAGTTTTTATTACCAGTTTAAAGGCCCAATCCAGTCATTTGTCAGTCCAAAACAACATATATTCACATGACATAGGCAGTCCAGCCTATCCTCCATTTTCTCTGTAGATTCGCCACTGTGTGTGTATGTGTGTTTTTAAGAGATGTATGCATATTTGCTTTGAGCTAAGAGAAATATAGAGAAAAAAAGGTCGGGCTATGAGAGGCCGACACCAAAACACTTGTGTCTCCATTTTTCTTGAACGTGTTGTGAGAAGCAACGTGAGGTGGAAGAGGGGTTGAGAAAGTTAGGAACCGTTTGGTTGGTGCATGGGGCTGCCCTACCAAAACAAGGGCGAGCCAATGAATTGGCCCAGGAATCAGCCCGCCCTAGCTCGCCAAGGCAAAGGTGTGAAAAATGAACTGGCGCAAAGGTGTGAAAAATGAACTGGCGACCAAAATTTCTGCAGCGGCTGAAAAAGTTGGCTTCAATCCAAACGAATGCCCTGGTCGGTAGTCAACGCCAAACTTTTGGCATGGCAGCTCACGGGTCACGGCAGCGGCTGGCCGTGATTTCGCCGATCGTGGAGACGAGGCCGATCGTGATAGCTGGGGGGCAGCGCCCCCCTCAGCATTGCATGTAACTCCGCCACTGGAGGTGGTGTGGGGTGTGGGGTCTTCATCGCCAAAGGAGGGAGAAAGCGGGTGTGGGGTGTGCAAGGATGGCTGAGGTGGTGGAGGCTTGGGCCACAGGGCAGTGAGGCTGCGCGGAGATGCTTGCCAGTAACATGGACCGAGGGGGGGAAACTAACTGTCGTGGATTTGTTCCATGGGACGACCGAAACATGGGTGTTCCCTTTTCATTAAAGGATAGCTAAGTATTGATTAATTAGATTGTCTAGTGCAGTGTTGTTATCTTTTGTGTTATCTTCTAATAAGCCATTTCCATCTTCTTGCGAGAAATAGAACACTCAAAGATACACCCACAATTAGACATAGATTATTATTAGAAGCATTGTACATAGCAAACCCCACAATTCCCGACACACTATGAGGCTTCAAATAGAGGGAGCTTAGTATCAGAATGAATAATTGCATCCCTGCCAAAAAGAAAAAAAGAAAAAATAGATGCATAGAAGTGACAGATTTTAGAAACTATATGTTGCGGCTACTGTTATTTTGCCTTTACATTTGCTGTTAGCAGGGCACAATGCTGCAGCTCTTTTGCACCAGGATGCATTTTATTTTGTTTTTTCTTCCATTATCGTCAATACTGCATGATTCGCGTCTAAGTTCCATCGGCCGGACTTGTCAACTACTTGTAGGTCTGCTGTCTTTGTCTAGGCGGCTGCAACTCAAGAATTTCAAACGAAAATAGAAACAAAAATTAGTCAACTCTCTCTTACCTTCTATAGCAGACACATATTTTCATCATAGTCAAATGATTGTGCCCGAAGGCTGTATGACTTGTTTTTTTGTTTTGTTTGGCAAAAGTGCTGACTTGTTGTTCCGTTGATGATTCAATCAATGTATGGAACGGGTTAGCAGACACATATTTTCTATCGTAGTCAAATCGATGTGGCGAATGATGCAATGACTTGTTCAGTGATCAATAGTACTCCCTCCGTTTGGAATTAGTTGTCTCCGATATGGATGTATCTAGAACTAAAATATGTCTACATACACCTATTTCTGCGACAAGTAATTTCGAACGGAGGGAGTACAAGGGAACGCCAGCAACTCCAATTTTTTTCAAACCAAATATGGTCTACACAGTACTATATGGGATGTACTCCCTCCGTAAAAAAATATAAGAGCGTTCAGATCACTAAAATAGTGATCTAAATGCTTTTATATTTCTTTACAGAGGGAGTATATAGCAAGGAATATGAGGAAATATCCAAAATATAGGGCAAACGTCCAAAACAATATATTTTATCAATGCATTTCAAAAAAATATACTCCTCCAAAAAGAACGCCTTCATAAGAACTCAAAAAATAAAGAAAAATTAAAAAAAATACAAGTTCAATATTTTTTTAAATATGGATGAAACAATTATAATATGTTTTAAAAAATTGAAATTGTTGTGAGATTGCGTGTGATTTTTTTTGAATTGGATTAAAATATGTCTAAAATAAATAAAATTGTGAAACATGATGAATTGAAATTAATTTCTTTGAAATAATTTAAATTTTGCTAAATGTATGTAAGATATTTTTAGAACTATATTAATTGAAATATGTTTGAAATGTTTCTGAAACTGATTTAAATATGGCTGATATTATTGTAATAAATTCAACAAGTTGAGATTGTTATGAAACTGCATGTGGAATATTTTTGAAATTCATAGATATAATTGAAATACGTTTGAAAAGTTGAAATTCTTGCGAAATTGTGTGTGGATTATTGTTGAAAGTGATTAGTATAAATAATTTTGTTTGATTTTGTATGAAGTGTGTGAAAACATAATCAGTTTTTTTTGAAACAACTGAAAATGGTAGAATGTGACTAAATTATTGAAACTGGTTGAAATATGACTAGAATTACTGAAATATGTATGAATATATCTAAATTTTAATTATAAAAATATTTAAATGATGAAAATTCACCTTTGTTTTTCAATTTAACTATCAGAATGGAATTGAAATTATTTTAAAAACTGAACTAAAAATTCAAGAAAGTATACTACAATCCCTTTTGAAACTTTCATAAGAAATATTTTGAAAATTAAATTGAAATTTGAAATCATGGAACTATTTTGAATTTATTTAAATTACTATAAAAAATATTTGATATCTTTGTTCTACCATATATACTGAAAATATAAATACAACTAACAAATACTTGGATACCCTCAAATTAGTTAGAGTTAGAAGGGGTCCACTATATAACAACCAATGCGGAGCTTCATTGAAGAGAAACTGAGCATGACCCGCTTAGTTTTGCTGCGACACAATAGGCGTGAGAGAAAAAAATTGTCTCGAGGGGAAGATAGATAACATGACAGTGCTAGCCATTGGCCGACCAATAGCTAGCACCGATCAGTCATCTTAGACGCCGGAAGATTGTCCAACACTCAACCGCTCGATCGAAGCGTTTTGCTCGTCTTCACTCTTATCTTGCACATCTTCACGCACGCTAGCCGCCGAGAAAAAAAGGAACCCTACCGCATCTTGCGCGCCTTCGGTGCGCTCTTCCTCATTCTTACACGACTTTTTTTGTTTTGGGTTGTATTCTGCATTATTGGATACTGGGTTGTATTCTATGTTGCATCGATGTCTGTTTTGCTCAATGTTTCGTATTCATATTATGTACCTAGGTCGGGCCCTCGGGAGATTAGGAGCCCTATGCAACCGCCCATGTTGTGCATGCCGAGGGCCCGCCCTGGGTGGGGGTGGGAGTGGCACAATTTTCTTTTTTGGGGGATTGGCACTACTACAGAATTGAACATCATTGAATGACCAAATTACATTATCATTGACTAGTTTCTGGCCCGACAGTGCCTCAGGGTCAGTGATGATATGTTTGTTGGGGAATGTAGTAATTTCAATAATTTCCTACGCACATGCAAGATCATGGTGATGCACAGCAACGAGAGGGGAGAGTGTGTCCATGTACCCTCGTAGACCGAAAGCGGAAGCGTTAGCACAACGCGGTTGATGTAGTCGTACGTCTTCACGATCCGACCGATCAAGTACCGAACGCACGGCACCTCCGAGTTCTGCACACGTTCAACTCGATGACGTCCCTCGAACTCCGATCCAGCCGAGTGTTGAGGGAGAATTTCGTCAGCACGATGGCGTGGTGACGATGATGATGTTCTACCGACGCAGGGCTTCGCCTAAGCACCGCTACGATATGATCGAGGTGGATTATAGTGGAGGGGGCACCGCACACGGCTAAGAGATCAAGAGATCAATTGTTGTGTCTATGGGGTGCCCCCTGACCACGTATATAAAGGAGTGGAGGAGTGGAGGGGCCAGCCCTCTCTATGGCGCGCCCTAGGGGAGTCCTACTCCCACCGGGAGTAGGATTCCCCCTTTCCTAGTAGAACTAGGATCCCTTCCAAGTAGTAGGAGTAGGAGAGAAGGAAAGGAAAGGGAAAAGGAGAAGGAAGGAAGGGGGCGCCCCCCCCCCTCCCTAGTCCAATTCGGACCAGCCCATGGGGAGGGGTGCGGCCACCCTTTGAGGCCTTTCTCTCCTTTCCCGTATGGCCCATTAAGGCCCAATACGAATTCCCGTAACTCCCCGATACTCCCGAAAATACCCAAATCACTCGGAACCCTTTCGATATCCGAATATAGTCGTCCAATATATTGATCTTTACGTCTTGACCATTTCGAGACTCCTCGTCATGTCCCCGATCTCATCCGGGACTCTGAAC